GAGATGAAAATCGAGTGCATGGCGCATTCCGAAATCAAGCTTTCTGAAAATATTTTAGCACCATCTTGTAGCGCTTGAAGAGCTGAGTTCAACGGTGTTTTCCGTTTCTGGAATACTTCACTCTGACCCGACTTATAACGAATTCACGAAATTAACGAGGATTCGCGTTATTCGCGTGAATTTTCGATTTCAAACGGCGAGTACTGTATGTATTAGGTTGTTCAAAAGGAACTGCGGTTCCCGACGCCGTTAATACTTGACGTACTTCAAATCAGAAATATTCACCGACGACCTGTTATTGAAGTATTTATTGGTTTGAACTGATGGTGTCAAGATTGTGGTTGGGGCAAGTTTATTTCGATGGGCTAACGTATGCTACATAAAGCTGTCAGCGTAACACTCAAGATGGGGCCAAGTGAGCACCAATAAAAGCTCAGCACAGCACTAACCCTAATATATTGGCCTCAAAAAGTTCCATCGTGAGAGTTATGATCAAGATTCTGCTGTTGACGTCCTTCGAAAAATTACCGAAGATGATAATTGTTCAAACCAACTGTGTTATAGCTAACAGTAGGGCTTGAGGTATTACATTCATTGATTCTCTACCTCTCCAGTTACCTTCTCAAGGTTGTTTATTCATTTATTTATTACTGTGCAGTTGTAAAAGGATAAAAAGGATAAAGCATTTGCCGTTGATCAATCCCTTTTTGGGATGCGGCACGCATTCTACTTCCATTTGTACATTCGTAGTGGCGTTTGAATGCGATGTGGCCTATACAATGACTTGCGGGGGCCAGCCGATGTACAAGTCAGTGTTTTTATCCTCCCAGACAAGTCTGGTACCAATTAACCGACCCCGGAGGGATGGAAGGCTTGGTTGGCCCGGGCGACTCACGACCCAGGATTTGATCCCCGGACCGCTCGCGTGGTAAGCGTGCCACTTGCCACTACACCACTTCCGCCCCATGTGCAGTAGGCACTAAAATAATTCGTCAGAACCAAATCAGTTATAAATCAGAAACATTGATTAAAATACAATCAAATCAAGCACTATTTTACCCACAAGCGGGGAGTTATCAGACACCAATTAATTTACCTAATTGATCTGATGATTTCTGTGTAATCTAGGACATTGTAGTGATAGAGAAGTGATGCGACCTCTGCTCGGTCTAATTATCCAGTACTTACTGGTCTCAGCTTCAGTTCACCTTTCAACAATTTGAAACAGAATACGACATCATTGAATACTCTCCTGTACAGCAATTATTTCAGATATCACATAAAGCTTCATCCATTTCTCTATACAAGTGGCTGGCCGTATACAAAGGATTTTCTAATTCTGAAGCAAATTCAGAAGGCGTACGAGGATGGGCTACAGGTAATAGGAGCCGGTTACCCGTAGCCCATCCTTGTACGTCTACTGATTTTGAGAGCGACCATGTGAACCAGCCGCGCTCCGTGAAGACAGAGCGGTCACCGTGATTTTGTGGGATGGGCTCAAGTTACCTCAAAACCCCCTTCAATTCTCACCCAACGCCAACACGAGAAGGGGATGATAACCACAATGTATCTGAATTGGAGTCGTTGCCACCGAGTGCACAGTTGTACCGAGCCATTTAAGCACCAGCAATCTTTCAATCTTTGTTGGCATGGCCTTATTCAGAGTCAACCGTCCATTGGTCAAAGTCCAGCGTTGGCCGACGAAGAGCGCAGGGATCCGAACGCAGGGTCAATGTCTCTGAGGGTATCTTCATGAGTGTGGGTGCGTGGGGATGGTTCACGCTATCGACGACTTAAATATATGAAAAGCATCGCGACTGTCCCAACCGTAGGTGAAGAGTGAGTTGCTTTGTTGCTTATTCAACCCTGAAAAACTCGATGTTTTTGGACAATACATATGTGATGGAAGAGCAACCACGGCAATGTACTTTTCGAGGCTAAGATGAAAATTTCAGGAAAAATTTGCCTAAGAAGAGTCAGCAACTTCTCAGGAATTATTGGGTGACTTTCAAAGCACGAAACTCGTTTTCGGCGACTATTGCTCAATCTACCCCTTTTCTGAAGTCCTGGACTTTTACTTGAAACACTCTTAACAGGTTCACCAGAAGAGAGGCCGAGAAAAGTGGGGTTCCGAGACTCTTGAAATATCCCGAGTCTCGGATACGGTCAATCGATGAGTTGCCGCTACGTCTTACGTTCATTGGCTTCAAAAAAGCCTTCGGCTTTGTAAATACAGAAGCGGTTGTTAAGGCCCGGGCAACCAGTGTGTTCCTTTCACTACATAAGTATCCTTCACGCAGCTCTACATCAGCCTCACCCAAGGATTTCAAGATTCTCCACAGGAAGGTGAATGGAGGGCTTCGACAATTGGATTAAACAACCTGCCCTAATCAAGGGGCACTTTATAGCAGCTTAAAACGACCTTTAGGGGATGGGGCTCTTTGACGATCTCAGATCTCGCAGTAGCCTAGCCTGGCCTAATTTTCCAACACTTTCATACAGAGATATGAAGTTTCGGGGCCTATTCGATGAGTATACCGTTTTGGAGAACATCCCAGTATTAGAGTTTGACGCAAATTTGACTAACACTGATATGAAGCCAGGAAAGGAGGGGCTCTTTCCATCTCCCCACCCTCTCCTCCTAGAAGTGAAAGGCTAATATATTTATTAGCCCACATTAAAGGGCTCACACATTTCACAGGTGTTGAGCAACTTGCGACAAAGCCTTTGCGTGAAGGCTTTTACACATCAATCTGGAAATATGAACCGTGGTGGCGTAATTATCACAGCTTTATTTCGTACTCACAGTAATATTAGTTCATTAATATGAGTCATGTTTATGTATTCTCTATACTAAAGTGTTCAATGAGTGTGTCATCGTTTTGAGTAGAACAACTGCGAGCTAGGGGTGATTCCTCTTCCAGCATCGTTTTCAATTCAGGATTATCGATAGTCCGATCATCACCGCTGGAATGCCTTTCGTTCTTCACATTCTTACGATTTAATTCCGTTTTCATTCTAGCTCTACTTTCTCTGCTTTCTATCCCTGAAACGATATCCTGGCTTTGATCTTCCGCCGATTTCCCCCTCGATTTCTTGTTTTTACGTCTTGAGTTTCTGTGTCGCTTCCGTGGCAAATAACGGTATTCATGCCTAGTAATGCTGTGAGTATCCTCCATTTCATCCAGATACGGCCGTAGCACGCTCATTACCTAAAGATTCAAATTCAGCTTCCAAATAAAGGAGAAACCTAAAAGGTACAACTCAGGCAGAAATTGCGTTTACGGTTCCCTTCAGCTCGTTGGATAGACCCAGAGGACCACCACAGGTGTGGCTTCCCGTGCGTGGAAGATGGCACGATAAGAGCACAAGGGCCTTGCAACAACAGCTTCAAAACCTTTTGTCTTCCCCACCCGCAACAGGCTGTCGTTTGGCGCCCTCCCATCTGTCGCGCTCTCTCGCCTCATACTCTCCTCTTCGCGCACAGTCTCTCGTTCCTCTTAGCACAGCCAATTAGGAAGGTGAGTGAGCCCTCAACCTGAGCGTTTTCGACGGATTCTTTTCCTTTTTTCTTTACTGCTCGGCCCATTTCGCACCAATGCTTTCGTATTCGTGTGCAAAAACAGCAGTCGTTAGGGTCTGACGTATGCCTTCAACGAGGCCTAAGGTAAGAGCCATAGCATGTGATGATTTTACACTTCGAACCACTCCACCGCAACATGCACATAATTGGGGACTAATTTACTCTTGCCTAATCGATACCCATGTTTCTCATGCATGCGCCTGCAGTGCAGTTTAGGAGTGACCAGATCTGTGAAGATGAATAGTGCTCTCAGAGAATCTCGTATCACCTTTGCTGCACTGGATTCGCTGATTCGAAGTATGTGCACCAGGAAATCCATGCAGCAGAAGTCTTTCAAACGGCTGCCGTTCAAGTTCTGAAATGGTTATCCTTAATGAGATGTGGCGCTGAGTAACATCGCAACTCTGCACAAAACGCCAAACAGATTCGAATAAAGCATGAGCGGTGATGTTGCTTCGGCTAGAAGAGCCCCAAAACTTCACTAGAGTCGCTCATTGAATTCCGCTCATTTAGCTTAGTCTCTAATATCCTTTGTGGGACAGCTAGCAGAAGATTCCTCTGGTTTGATGGAAGCTTTGACAAAAGTTTCGATGCACATCATGAACTCGGGAAACAGGCGGGTGCTCATGGCTTAGGGACATTTAAGGCATTTGTGGCTTGTTTGAAGTTAAGGATTAAAACGCTTAAGGGACGCATGCACAGGCAAGAAATTAGAGAGAACGGATAAGAAGAAAATTGGGCGCAATGTGCCTCGGGGGGGGGGCAGTCGCCGCGCGCGCTCTTGCGGCAACAGGAAATTCGTGAGCCAGGGGGAGTGTAGCCAATTCAGGGGGGTTGGGGGTGAGGGCAGTCACATGACATGCGTGAGAAGCTGGAATGTTCGAATTTCCTGTTGCCGCACAGCCGCGCGCGGTGACTGCCCCCCCCCCGAGGCACATAGCGCCAAAATTGCTAATGTGAGCGGTGTCCTATAGCGAATTCCTCCCCCACTCGCTCATCTAAGGGTTGGATGCATGCTGTACTGGACTCACGCAATTGATATTCGATTCCTCCACGACAAGAGGCGCCACAAGGCGGATTTGGGACTACCCTTAGATATTAATATTCAACCACAATTCTGTCGTTCGCTCCTATTCAGTTTTCAGTTGTGTTATGTTTTCGGTGATCAATATCCCTTGCTATATTACAAGCGCTAATTGAGTGTCCGGTTTGGTATCTGTATGTGTGGGTGTGTGCCTGTGAGATTATGATGTCGGGTGAGTGTGTTGTTTATTGGTGCTGTGTGTGTATGTATGTATGTGTGTCCGTCCGCAAAATGAAGTGAGTGAGAAGGAAGCTCATGGGATAAACAAACCGCTAACAAATCGGGTAGCTTACAGGATTTGAGATATCAATGTTTTGTAGCAGGATAGTTGTGATAACACTCTTAGGGCTTATATAAACGAGCCTTGCTTAGACACACTGCTCGTATCATTCACATAGGGTTGCTGCAGTGGCAGCTGGAGGGCAGTGGAGAGAGGAAGGGAGGATGAGGAAGGGAAGCGGAAAATCTACCGTCATATCATGATTGTGTTGTGTCCCTTCTACTGTTTGAAACACCATTGTGTTGCATACGCGTCACTTCCACGAGGTGTTGGTGTCACAGGAGGAAGGGACCATAGCGGAGGATAGAAAGCTTGCGCAGGAAAGGAAGGTCCCGGCGGTTGACGGGGGACTAAATCTGGTGATATATAATGATGGGGCATTTGGAGCGGGCTTGATCACTTACTGTGCGAGTGTCTGTTGCAGCTTTGGACATTGAGTTGAACAAGCAAACTTACATTATGTACAAAAACTTCTTTTTCATAATCGGTGATGATTCCTTCTAGGAATGCGGTTACCTCTTCTAGTTCCCATTGTCTGAGTGGTTTTCGCAGAGTTCCAATATCTACCTGGAATCAAGGGGTGCCACACGGGATTGCGGTTCGTACGTGGAGACAGCCACCGCCAGTGAAAACAGTGAAGACATACCATGCAGCGAGTAAATGGATGAGTATATGATGTGGAATGAGGTAGCGCAATGCTTTTATATCCTTCCCTTATCAATGGCTTATCCTTCTTGATGAACCGATCATCTAAAAGCACAGTCTGTCTGGAAATTATTCTCCTGTTGATTGGTGCATTCCTAATATGTCGATGCTTCAAGTGTGCGGTATGTTTCAGAAGAGGGCCTTTATCCGTTTTGGCTTTTTTGGCCACATGGGACAGGGGCGATTTTGCGAGCGCGGCCGCCGCACCTCGGATCCGTGAATTTTTATTGATAACTTTTTAAAGCACCAGTGGTACAAAAACATCTCAGTAACAGTCAATGCGTAGAAGGTAATAGAGTATATAGTGACGAAGTTCCGATTAAAGAACATGTAATGGTAATGAAAAAGGAAACTTTAGTCATTTTCTCTGTAGTAGATGCAAATCGATGTGATAATGATACACATATTTCCCTTCAGTTCTGCATTATTCTACTACTCTTTTTTATTGACATGTTCATGAGAATAGGAAGAAAACGAGGATGAACCGAGCTGCCAATTCCGCTGTGCTTGAAAAACTTCTGCTAAACTGGAGCATATTTGATCATACCGTGACCCATGTCGTTTACAGTTATGTTATGTTGTAATCCATAGAATAGAGACAAGCAAATTGGGAAAGAAGCTGCGCATGCCGCTAGAAAAAGGGATGATAAGGGTGAGACGCGGTAACCGCGTCTCAATGTCCAACGAGGTGCGCAAAGTGAGACGCGTTACCGCGTCTCAATGTCGTCAATGTGTTAAGGTCACCTAAAAGGAAAACTTCCTCTAGACTTTTGAAAATCGAAGCTTCTTGCAACAAACAAAGAAGGATTGCAAGTGAATTAAATATGCGAGATTTAGGCCAAACTCTCATACTAGCCGAGTATTCTCCTGAGGATCATACTGTTTATGAAAGTGAGCTACAGCTTCGGTGTCAGCTTAAGCTTTCGGATCAGATACATGCCTCATCAGGAGAAAAGCATCCAAGGCGCTCATGTCTTTAGACGGGACACTCAGAGCAGCCCCGCTGTTAGGTGATCTTATGGTTAGGAGTAAGACCAGGAGAACTGGAGGTGCCAGGGAGAACACAAGTTTTCACATACTTCTTGTAAATCCGTCCCTCCCCCCAAAGCTTATGTTAGTCCGAAGTACAGTAGATGACTCATTCACTTTTATGTGCAATTCTCCCGACGACAAGAGCGCCGTATCCGATTTCAACGAATCGCGATCTTGCATGATGTTCTCTTCATTGCTTAATTTCTCGACATAAGTTGATTTCCTGGCTGGAAGAATTCTATCACTATTCCAGAGTCCCGAAATAAGAGGCCAGCGGTAATCACAAAACATCTCCGCGGAAACCGCGTTAGTTTTCCAAAAATTGTGCTTTCTCTTTGATGTCTTAGTGCTTCTCCGTCTATTTCATGCCATTTCCGTTACTCGTATTGACGCTTCTTTTTCACAAAACACGTATGAAAAAAAACAACAAATAAAGTGCACATAAACACTAGGGCATAACAACTAAAAACGTTTACATTGGTCACAGTTTTATGAAATTGACGCTTTCGTTGTGGGTTCTTGCAACTGACGGTGTCGCATTTTCCGCTTATGAGATACCATGTGAGTTCCTTCAGCGATAAAAGCTTCTGTGAAGAGTTAAGATAAGATCGCAATTCAGTGAAATTGGAGTGGCTTATATCTGAACCAAAAACCAACCGGAAGCAAGGCATTCAAAGCAGTTCCCAATTTCATATCAGTATAGAATCCTTGAAAAATATACCAGTACGTGAATTCGGAACAATTCTCGCGCTGTTTGCTTTCTTGGAAATTTTTTTTTGCGGAACCTTCGGACGTCCTACAGCGGCTTTCCCATCGTGATGATCTCAAGCAGAAACTCACACAAAAGTGTGATCTGGAGAGAAACGGGGCGGCTATACAACTACTACTAATAGGCGAAGCAAGCTACACTCACAAAAAATCAAAAAAATGAATAAATCAAAAATTTGTTGTGGTTCCAAGTTGGTGTTTAGCGTCCATGAATTCGCGTTTATTTTTGGAACATCGTACTTTGAGCTTTTTTTAGTAACATAATGATTTGCAAGTTTTCGAATAGCTTTGGGTGAATGTGTCATTTTCACCTGCGTGTCCATCAGAGATGGCTAAGATCAGAATTTTTGTCAGAATAACGCGAAAATTTTTCAGGATTTTCTTTTATTTTTATTTTTTGGGTTCTTTTTTGATTCTCTGCAGCGAGGTCACGGAACCTTCATACACGAACCTTCATACATTATTTAAGATCA